AACTGTCATTCCGGGGCCAGCCTTGGTGCGTTATTTTCTCCTTTTTTTTTGTTGAACAACTTTCCTGTGTCCTGTTGTCTTTTGGTGGCTGCCATAAAAATGTAAAACGAGGGAGCAACTGCCTCGCTGGCGGGCAATAAATCTAACGATAATTTGATACGCAGCGTTTTACGAGTCCCCTCCCCCTCCCCCTCTCCCGCCTTTCGGGTGTCCATGGGTTAATGCCCCGCTTACTGGGGCAGGCAGGCGAGGAGCTTGGAGACGAGAGAGCTCTAAGCTCGGAGCTCAAGCTAAGCCAATTAAATTAGACGGCAAACTGTTACTGTTAACTGTTGCATATCTTCAGGGGCTTCTCTAGGGAATCCCCAGCCAACATGGGTTAATCGTGGGGTAGCCTATAAGGGGGAGTGGTCAGCAGGGGAAAGGGTTGCATTTACGAGGCAATTCCTCGACTCGACTCTGAATGTCTGCTGGTTGTCGAGTGGAGTATTTTATGTGTGGCCCTTAAAGTCTGTAATTAATTTGGAGTGTGCTTTTAAAAATGATTGTAAAAACATAATTATAATTACAAATTAAAAGCAATAATTGTTTTCTACCAGGGTGGCATCTAAGGATGTTATATCCCCTCCCAAAGTGGGTCTAGTTGGTCTGAATACTTCTTTAAAGACTCTGAAATTTGAAGTACAATTATATGCCCACATCAGTATTAAATTAAGGACGAGATCTGCGGGGATTTCATCGGTCCTTGGTCCTTGGCCATTTTCCGATGATTTCATTTCGTTCCATTGCAGTTTCAATTATGCATGGGTTCTGCTCTCTCCGGCCGACAGGTGGCGCTCTCATGAATTTTTCATCAGTTTCCATGGGATCCAACCCTCCTCCCTCCTCGGCTTCTAATAGCCCAGAACACAATACCCTACATACGAACGGAACACGGATGATTGGTTCGGCATTATGCAGCTCTCGCATTTTAGCATTTTCGCATTTTGGCACTGAAGCCAATCAGTCAGTCAGGACGAAGGAAACTCGGGAAAGGACTAGAAACCCAGGGGGCCATATTCATTGCATCGTCAGATGACTGCAGCAAGATGCCAGGTCGGCAGGTGAAGGGGGTTGGGACTGATTGCCCCAACGACCTGACAATTGCAAGCGAAAATATGAAAAGCGGCAGCGATGCGGCACAAATATTAAGTATACGCCCCGGGGCACGTACACGGCAAGCTATTGTATCGTACGGAAAGTAAGATGACAAATCGGATAACTCATGTTCAATATTATTCAGAAGACCAGACGATCTCCATCCTAATAGTGGCTTTTGAGATGAAATTCCAAATATTTACAAGTACTACTCGCCCATGAAAATGATACCAAAACTATTCACACGATTATCAGCCATTTGCCAGCCATCCCGAACATGATGATAAAAATCCTCAAAACAGGGGAACAGGGTACAGGGGCCAAAAGGACAAAAGGCAAACAAAACTAAACAGAAACCAAATAAACCAATGGAAAAACAAAACGTACTCATGCTAAGGCTAAGGCTATGGCTATGGCTATGGCTATGGCAAGTGGAAAACAGACTCGAGGGCCTCATAAAAATGCCATATATGCGGGAGTGGAAATCTCTGTCTCTTTCAGGACATTGCCTCCTCCCCGCTCTAATATAGTCTCCTCCATCTCCAACCACTAACTGCAATAAGTTTTCTCGACCGAAGAAAATAGAAAGTAATGAAATGAAAGATTCATGTTAATGGCTTTCAGCGAGCTGAGGACTACAAGACACATACCATACTAGGTCTTAGCCAGCACCTCGGTTTAGTATGCAAAGTGCTTTGGCCGCAACCGGCTAGGGGAGGGGAGTGCAAGGTCGAGAGCAACAGACCATCGCTCAGATCTTTTGGATACTTGACACTTGGCCATAAATAATAAATTGGCCCAAGATTAGAGGCCCAGAGAATCGCTCACCTCTTCGGCTTCGGCAACGCCTTTTCCCTTTTTTTTTTTAGCGCACTTTTCGAAATCAAATCGCCAACGGACTCGCACTTTACACTCGCGTACTTGCACAACGGGGCGTATACGTGTTTTTCGTAGCTTTTTTCGCCTTGCCTGCCTTGCCACAAAATGCTGCGACCTGCGACCTGCCACAAGGCGACACAAAAGCAGACTGATTCCGAGACTCCGGGACTACGGTCTACGGACTACGGGACAAACATTCCGGCCCTGCCGCCAGATGCTGCACGAACGTCCAACGGCTTTACCCGATCGGGCCATCCAGCTTTCGGGCCAACAGCCGAACGTTAACAGTCGCGGCCGGTTAAGGAAAATTGCGATTTTCCAGAGTCAGAGTCAGAGCCAGAGGCCAGCCAAGAGCTGCCAAGCCGGCCCCGGCAATCCAATTAGACACCTAAAATTTTCCGCAATTAAAGGATTAAACCAACACCAATTGAAGCCATCGAGTGGCTTTATTGCGGGCCTCTCCAAGTTAGTTTGTTTATTCAAAAATATGACTTTAATGGCCGGGATTACAAGTGAGTTCTAGGGTTAGTTTGTTGATAGAACTTATATTTATTTCATTTTATATTTTATATAATTTTAAGAATTTTAGAATTTAATTAAAAACCAAACTATGATTCTTTTATTTTTAGTTCCTGCCGCAACCACAAAGGTTACTTTTTTGGAAATATTTTTCAAGGTAAGAACTGAAACAAGCTTACATATTAATTTAATGGAAAACCATCATGTTATTTTATTTGTTTAATTTTCAAAAAATTTTTGTTTACTCTTAGAGTGTCCACTGTATGCCGGCTTTGAACTTTGCGGCTTTTTTGTGACTTTTTTTTTTTTTGGCTTCAAGTCGACTCCTGAGAACCTGTCCTGTCTCTGCTGGAGTCCTGCTAATTAGTCCAGAGTCGTCCGTATTCGGTGGCACCTGCCTTCCTGCCATCCTGCCACTGGGGAGGCCTGACCACTTAACCACTTTTTGTCCCATTGCCGTAGCTCCTCCCGCTCTCCTTGTTGTCCTCTGCCCTGGCTGTCTGTGAGGCAATGTGTGGAAAATGTTATCAGTTGACACAAAGTCAACGTTCAGTGGCAGGTGAACTCAATTTGCACCTGCCGGTGCCTTTGCCTTTGCCAGGGGCTTGTGCTTGTGTATATATGGCTGCTTGTAGGTATTTGTGTGTATTTGAGTGCTGGCTCCTTGATTTGGAGTGTTGTTTATGCATGCAACAGGGCGTATGAGTGCTGTCTAATTGGCTCGAGGTGCTAGATCCATCAACTTGTTGAAAACATTTGCCAGAGCTAATAGAAAAAAGAGTTTCAATATATTATTTATATAGTTTGATAGAACTATAGCCTATATATGGACTATATTTCAGTCAAAGAATATATGATGTATATTTTAGAGACCTTAAAAGTAGCACGGTTATAATTTCTATTTATCTCCATCACCAGTTTTTAGTTTAATTTCTAGTTAGTTCTAGTTTATTAAATATTCCGGTGTGAAAGATATTTCTCATTTTGAAGACATACGATCCTTTTGGGTCATATGATTTAAAGAAACAGATCAGTATATTATCATAAGCTTTATCATTCAGTAAAGACCTCTTTCAAATAAATATTTCTGCAGTTACTCTCAAACTATTATAGGAAAAACTACTTATTCTATATTTTTTTAAAATTTTTATTTATAAATTTAGCAACACCCTTAAAATATAAATTAGTTTTTTTATTAATAATTATTTTGTTTAACTTTTTCAATCAAAACAATAACTTTAAATGCAAAACACTAGTGATATTTAAAACCATAGTCAGTTACTCCTACAGTTTTACATCCGTTCGTACAGTTTTGCATTCACTGCGGATATATCTAATTGAAATGCAATGGATTACTTGCTTTTGCTCGACTTGGCCTTTGCCTTTGTTTTTTTTTATATTTATTTTTTATTTGCGACACTTGAAGCTTGTTGCTGCTCTATTGCCAAAAACGATACCCATGGCTATCAGGGAACAGCAAAAAAATTTAATTGGCGACTACCCATAGACCCTGTTCCCTGCCACCTACCCCTGTGCCACTGTCCGAAATTCCCATCTCACTTTTTTCGAGTAACTTTCTTTCCGCAAAAAAAAGAGAAGACACCCACACTCCGGTCGGCATACAAATGAAGAGTAATGGTCGGATCCCCGACTGCTCACTGCTCACTGCTCACGCCCCTGGTGCTCCACACACAGTCTGCTCCATTAATTGAATTCACAGTGTGCGCTTATGCAAAGTCAGAGCCATAGCCATAGCCATAGCCATAGCCATAGCCAGAGCCAAGTTATAGCCCGAGCCAAGGCAAAAACAAAAGACATTTGCGGCATTTGATGTGAAAAATAAAAGCAATTAAAAATTATAAATAAATATTGTAATAATTGTCGTATAATCGCTGCCGAAAAAGGGCAAAGTAGAGGAGGTGATGGAAGAGGGCTCGAACAAAAAAACATAATTAAATAATTTCGGACGAGTCGGCTGGCTGGCTGGCTGGTGGCATTAAGTGTTATATAATATTGCCCGATTATGTGAGTTATTGTTTTCCACGGCCTTTAGCCGGCTGCATTTTTGTTGTCATTTTGTTTTGGCCGCTGGATCTTAATTGCACCTTTCTTTTGGCCCTCTTTCCTCTAGCCATTGCAACATTTTGGCCCAAAAACACAACGCTTTTGTCTAAAAGTGTGAACGTGGGAGAAATTTTTAGTTTTTGTCTTTTGTTTATCAAAAATTAACATTTTTTTTGTTATCTGCCTTACATTTACTCTAATTATTTAAATTGCTTAATTCTAAAGATAAAAAATCACATAACTTTTATAATTTTTGGACCTTAACAATTTTTCTTTCATCACACAGCCCTTTCATTGGAAATCCATTCAAAAATTATCCAAGTATCCAGCACGTGAAATTGTTCCTGCAAGCGTATTGGCCAAAATTATCGTCTGACAAATTAGCTGTCAAGTCCTGCAAAATGTCCTGGACAAGCGGCTTGAATATGGGTGGTGTGGGAGCACTGTTGCCGCAGGTGAAGCCGTGGCAGCGCTTCGACTGGAAGTCCTGCCTCAGGTCGAAGATCCTTCGCGACTGGGGCAGCCACTACTTGAGGCGGTCGCTCAACCAGACGGCCTTGAAGAGTATGCAGCGGGCGCTGGAGACCTGTAAGGTCCCGGATATACGGGGTCAGCTCGGCTCCTGCACGTTGACCCGACCCACGACTCCGAAGTCTATACGGAACTGCATGGATCCGGATCACCTAATCTGCTCCAGCGACTACAAGATTCTATACCAGCGGAGTCGTTGCCATCGCTCGATGGCCAACTCGAAAAGGGCCGTGGAGGATGCCCAGCTGGCCCAACGGACCATACCTATGGCAATGGGGCGGCACAATAGTGTACCGGGGACTGCGGATATTGTCCAGGAGAAATGCAACGCCCTGCTCGATGCGAATGCGTTCGAGAGGAGTCTGGTCACAGTGTATGATGAGGGGAGAGATTTCCACAGCAAAAATTCCGAGCGGCAGTTTCATAAAATCCAAGAGAAAGTAAGTTTATGTTTTATTTCTAATCTTACTTATTAATGCTATAATTTTTATTCAAGATCATGGGCATTTTTAATGACACCGTTGGAGATTCCCTGTCCCCGTTTTTCATTAAAAACATGGCCGCCATTGAGGGAGTAATCCGAGAGCGAGAAGAGGCGGCTGCCAACATTCCGCGTCCCCTTTGGAAGATCCGACGGGATCGGCCGGAGTGCGATGTCCAAAGTATCGAGGAAAAGAAGAGCATTCAGCTGACACCCATAGAACGAGCTCGGCGCAAGAACAGCGAACGCCTCTACACATATAACTATATGCGGAGGAACGCCGTTGATGTAGCCCTACTAAGGGAACTGCGAACCAACGAGAACTTTCTCAACCCGCTGATGGGCTCAAGCACTCCGCACCTCCGCCAACTAACTAGAGATCAGTTCGACATCATCGGCAGGTTTCTGGTAATTAAGAAATCGTCATCTGCTAATTAAGTAATCATAGTTAAGTAATCTTAATCTAGTAATTAGGTAATCTTAAGTCTGTACTATTACTACTAATACACTACTAGTTTTAATCAAGGTATTCTGGTCAAGAAAAAAAACCAAGACCCCTCAATATGATAAATGCTAAAAATGTTTTTAAGTATTTTAGTTAGGCATATTTTATTTTATTTTTTTACTCATGGAGGGATACAATTTTATAGATTTTGTATATTTCTAGATCAGTCCACTGATTTCTTATTAAAGAGACTAAGAGAGAGAAAGCCATCTTGGCCATATACGCCAAGGCCGTACATTTTCGGAATCAGCGTTCGAATATCCATCGAACTGCATACCACGATTTTCGATATCGAACAACATTTTCGAGCGATTTTTCGCAAAAATGGAAAGGCTATACATCACGATATTTTTCGATTTTCGCCGAAAATTTTTTGATCGATTTCGACAAAATTGGTATGCAATTCGATAGACTTTGGGACGCTGATTTCGAAAATGTCAAGCGTTAGATTCCTACAATCGAAGCGTTATCTTTTGCAAACCCCCGTTAAATAAAACACATCTTGAAAATTTTTATTTTAAAACATTTAAATTTGAACAGGTAATACTTTATACTACATACTAAAATACTAAGTACATAAATACTATAAACTACTACTCCTATTACCTTATCGGACTCGATGGTTTTGAGTGGCATTTGCAACGACAACGACGATGGCTAAGCTAAAGATCCTGGGTTATAGGTGATGATCCGCAACCGCTTCCCTTGAGAAGTAGGAATTATATTAGTACAAGAAAATATTATCCATGTTAGAGATATTTACTTAAACTTCAGTCTCTTCAGGAGTCACTTCAGTCTCATGCCGTCAAGAGCTCAGTCTAACAAGTCCTCTATAGGAAACGTTATCCTTATAATTCTCCAGAAAGATTGTGTTCGGTATCGGATGCTTCGCTTTTTATACCTCCATGCCCTGAGCTGTAAATATAAAAATAACTATTAGTACGTTTTAAGTTATAATGTTAGTGTAAGTTAATAATTTATTTATTCTAAGTAAGGTGTTCTATCTGGTCAATCATCCTTAAGTAACCTTATTTACTTTCTTAGAAAATGATGCACGCCCGCAATCCGCTGTACAACCGAACGTTTATTCGCAACAGCGGGGACATCGGTGAGCGATCCCAGAGACGTCGACGGGAGGCCCACCTGTTCCACCTGGAATACCAGACACGGCGCGACTGCTTCCGGATGCTGCGCCAGGTGAGAGCACTGCGCCGAGCGGGCAATGTGGACAAGATGTCGGATTATGTGGAGCACATCATGTCCAACAACATTGAACTGAAGACCCATCGCACCCTGCCCTGGAAGTGGGAGTTCCTGAACGAGGTCTACAACCTGATGGGCCTGGCCCATACCGATCGTTGCTCCGTTCCGGCCAATGTGGACTTTTTGCAGCCAAAAAATCGTTTTCTTCTGTTTCTAATACCGCCGGAGAAGAAGGTCAAGGAGATATCAGACCCATTTGGGGGCACGAACATGTATGTGGAGATGCATCAAGAGGAGGAGCGACACAACCGAATCAAGTAAGTGATCTGATCAGGTTTCTGGTCCTAAGTAGTAACCCCTTAAGTGATCTTGAGTAGCCAGAAACTGGAGCATCTGGAGAACCGGCTGCGTTACTCCCCCTACGCGATAGAGCGCTCCTATCTGCTGTTCGAGATGGCCAGGTGGCACTTCAGGGAGTCCCGCTTCGACAAGTGTCTGGTGGTGGCGCAACGCGCTTTCGAAGGTCTAATACTTTATAATAATGTTTCCTTATCAAAAATAATGCTAATCCCCCGCAGAGGCACGCACCTGCAAGAGCCTGATCTGGCGTTTCAATAGCATCTTCCTGGCCTGCCAAGTCCACGCCGTCCTCAGTCGCTACGAACGCCTCAAGGAGACACTGGCCAAGGCCGAAAAGCTGGCCTCTGCCCTGAGGGCACCCAAGCTGCATGCCTACCTCTCCATCTGCATCACCATCAACGACTACGACATGGCCCTGCGGAAGCTGCGGCAGTCGGACGTCTCCCTGCGTAAGAGCCGGAAGAAGAGTAACCACGAGTCCAGGACAGCCGTTTCGGCAGCCGTGTCAGTGAACGTCAGTTCCGAAAGTTTAGTCAGCTAATGGTTCTGGACTGCTTTCCATTGCTGTTCCTCCAACCAAAAAGTAATGGAAAGGAGTCAAGGACCTCAAGGATATTATTACCTTTTGACTTTGTAATTGAAGAAATTGTATTGGGCCTTGGGCCTAAAAGCTTAATTACAATTATCATTTTATTTCGCTTGAGTTTGGCTTTGAGGCGGTTTCAATAAATACAATAAATACGTATTAATTAACAAACATCAACGTTCAGCATTAACAAATCATTAACAATTACAAATTATGAATTATGAATTATGAATTAAAATAAATTAAGTCGAGGAATGATAATGGTGGTGATGATAATGTCAGTGGTGTCTGTGTTTAATGCCTTTTCTTTAGAGGACGCCTCTGAAGACGTTGGCGCCCGTGGCGGTACAATGACTTGGCTGCTTTAGACCTGGTTACTGCCGACTTGGCTGCCAACTTTGCATCTCGATTTTCCAGGTTTTCCAGGTTATATTGGTATTCATTGCCTTCCAGCGGTTGATCTGCTTCCACTACCAGTTTTTCGGCTTTTTTCTCGTCCAGATTTTGGACATTTTCTTCATCGTCTTCGTACTCCTCTTCCTCGTCATCCTCGGTATCTTCGTCAGTGCCTTCTTCCGCCGCCTCCTCTTCTTCGGCTCCCTCTTCCGTTTCCTGATCTTCTCCTGCTTCGGCATTTGGGGCTGACCCGGGCTTGATGACCTTTAGTTCATTACCAGCAGCAGCAGATGTCTCTTTCTCCGGCTCTCTCTTCTCCTCCAGCCCCGCCTTTGTTGGGGGTTCCTTCACCTGGCCTTTTTTCGCTCCACCATCGGCGTCATCATCGTCAACGTTTACCTCATTGTCGCTATCGTTTTCGAGCTCCACAGCCTCTGTTGTCGTCGATTCTTCCCCCACGTCTTCCTCATCCTCCTCGACCTCCTCCTCCTCCTCCTCGTCTTCTGTCTCCTCCTCTTCGCTTGACATTTTCACCTCTTCCTTCTCCTTCTCCCTCTCCGCTGGGGCCTCTTCCTGCTTCGATGAGACCTCCTGGTCTTTGTCATCAATAACGACATTGTTTGGTTTGTTGTTTGTTGTTTCCATTTTAGATGTTGTTGTTGTTGTTGTTGTGGGTGCTGTTGTTGCTTTGATTGTTGTTGTTGTTGCTGGCATTTCTTCAATGGCTTTTATTGAATTTGTAATTGTTTCAATTACCTGAGTTGGCCCCGGGCCACTCTCGCTGCCATTGTCATTGTCAGGTGTCGCCTCTACTTGCTCTTTCTCTTTCTCTACCTCCTTTTCCGTCTCTTTCTTGGCTTCTTCAGCTTCTGCCTCGTCTTCAAGCTCTTCATCGTTTTCTTCTGGCTCCTCAACCTGATCGCCAGCTATTAGCATTTCACTTTCGATTGGCAGTGGCTCTGGTTCCTCCTCCTCCTCCTCCGGCTCCTTCTCGGTCATTTTGGGGGGCTGATAAGCCAAAGACTCGTCTTCACTCGGAGTCTTCTCGGAGTCGTCCACCTGCGGCTGGTAGGCCAGCGAAGGATAGGCCACTGGCTGGTAGTCCTGGGCAGGCGCAGGCTTCGGCTTCTCCTTCTCCTCTGCTTGATCCTCTGCCAGGGGATACTCCTCCGGCTCATTCTCCAGCTCGGCATACTCGCCATACTCCTCGCCAGCATCGTCATCGTCGTTGCCCTGCTGTCCCGGTGGCAGCACTGGCTTCCCGTTCTTGTCCACATACTGGAGTCCGTCCAGACCCATGCGCATGCACTGGAAGTGCATCTCGAAGAGATCCGTGGTGGCCAGACGCACCACAAAGTCCATGCACATGCTGAGCCTGTTGTCGACCATCTGGACGTCGGTCATCTGGACGCACATGGCCATCGGCACGCCCATCATCACCGGGATGCAGAAGGGGGCCGGGTTGCGTACCGACAGGCCGAACTTTGAGGTGGCCTTCTCGTTCACGTACATCTCCAGTTGGGCCTCCTCCAAGTGCGGCACAAACGTCACATTCGCACAGACTGCACAGAGAAACAACAGATGGGATGTGTTAGTGTTGGGAATAAGACAATAAAGGCAACAATGAAACGATTCCATTCCATTCCATTATCCATTCCATTACACGCATTCGGGGAATGAAAGTGGCGGGTGGTGGCGGTCTATAAACTGCGGGATTTCTGCGGGAGGTGCTCCAAGAGCTCCAAGCGCCAACAATTTGTGGCATTTTGATTGGCAAATGCAGGCATGTCACGAAAAGAAATGGAAATGGAAACCGAGCTGGAGCTCTTGGTATTGTTGTCTCCGGCATGCGCCGCCAAGACTCTGAATACTCTTTTTTCTGGGGAGGCCTCAATACGAATTCTGCCAGGCAGCCAACCCGCACACCCCCTGCCCCAGCAGGCATCTGGCTAAAGAAAACCTGCAGCCTTAAGCCGCAGGCCACTGGCCACGATTCGGGCCAGGCTAAGTGATCGATGCGATCTCAATTCGGCCGAGTCCCCATATGGAGAGCCAGCTAGCCAGGGGGCTGGAGGCTCAATGCATGATCGGGTATTAAGGCCTAATGGCCCCAATCCCCCAGTACTCTACCGTACTCCCCTGGATCCTTTCTCACCTTTCTGATCGAAACGGTACTGGTCCACCTTGAGGCCCGCACAACAGCCGCAGACGGGTCCCCGGCACTCGCAGGGCTGCCCAAACGTCGACCAGATGGAGCCCTTGTCCGAGTACTTGACACTGGCCAGATTCCGGCCCCGGGACACACTGACGGTGGGCGGCAGGTAGGGCTGGTGGGACTTTAGTTCGTAGAAGATCAGGCCGTTGCTGTAGCTCCGCGAGCTCACCGACAGCGGGCCAGCCACGAAGGCCAGGACTAGGCCGCAGCTCAGCCAGGATATCATGATCCTGATCTTCTCACTTCAAGCTCACTCCAGATAACAAAAAAAAAAAAGGTAATCCACAAGCAAAAAAAAAAAAGATGACACTCGCGGGGGCTCTTCCAGATGAGATCTGTCTTCTGGTTTCGGTATGCGGTTATTGGTCGGCGGTATTTACGGTTAACGGTTTGTGCTTTGCGGTCCGGGCCTTGGCAGTGGCAGCACACGGTAGCTGTTGGCTTAAATGAATGGACAACCGCTCGCGATCGACGACAATTAAATATTAAAACGCTGAACGCGACGAGCGTTGGCTTAAAAATGAAATGGAAACTGCCAAGCTCGAGAAGTTGGCAGAGGCCGTGGCAGTGGCAGTGGCAGTGGCAGTGGCAGAAGCAGCGTCTGCAGCTGAGACCAAAATGTTGCTCATGGAAGCAGCAATACTACCAAGAGCCAAAGCAGCAGCAACAGCAGCGGCAACCACCAACCTCGTTAAGTTGTCGCTGTTTTTGCGAGCAAACCATTTCTACTCTTTCCAGCCAAAGAAAGAGCCTACACCTTGAGAGGAGGTGTTTGTTGGTAGCACCCATTGGTAATAAAAAATGGTAATACAGAAGATGTTCTACTAGATACATATATCTATAGAAATGTCATATATATATAGATATAGATATAAAGAAAGATATGATATTGTAGGTATAGTTCCGTAGGTAGTACCACTAACCATACAGCATATAGTAGGTATATAGTACATAGGATATATATACTACTACTACTAAATATACTACTAAATATACTACTACTATACTACTAAAATATATAGTATATATTTGTACTATATAGATGGCTATAGATACGTACAGTACAGAATGCTTCTACAGTACTACATTTCCATACTTCCGTAGCATTTTATATTTCTACCTCTATAGTATCATGCATATGGTATCTATTTTTTACTATATAGTATAGTAGCTTCTTTAGTATGCTTAATAGTAGTAGGTACTACATGGTTTTCTTTAGTATATACATAGGCTTCTATAGCTTCATTATTAAAGGTCGATAAGTAGCCAAAACTTAACCAACTTCGTGGATATAGTACTGGCATCAAGGCCTTCGCTTACTACACAGTATAGTATGGTATGCTATTTAGTACCAGCTGCTATATACTTCCTTGTCTACTATATACTATACTATACTGTATAAGGCAGTACCTATTACTATACTACCTACCTACCTACCACCTACTAACATACTAACTATTTTATTCCTAATAGTCCTCTAGTACTACTACATATTTTATAGAAAAAAGAGTATCTCTTAACCCACCTTTAGTCCAAGTGTGATTTCCGTTTTTCTTATCAGCGCGGCAGCATCGTTAGTTGTTCGTTGTTTGTTGTTGTTGTTTGTTGTTTGTTGCCACCGCTGGCGTTACGGCTATTTTGTTGTTACTGTTGCTGTTGCTGTTACTGTTAGTGTTGCTAGTTGCTAGTATGGTTTGCCGCTTTGTTTATTTGTTATTTAAGCCGCTGTTGCCACACCGAAAATGTTTTTCAAAAACAAACAGAAACCTAAACACCTAAAAAATAAGTTGTTTTTTAGAGGCAAGCTTAGTGGGAAAGAAAAAAAAGAGAAATGCAAACTACATAGCTTTAGACTATATATAATTTTCTTCAAGTGTAAATGGCAGCTTTGCTTTGTTGCGTGTGCCGCCAAAAGTTTTATATATATATATTTTTTTCGCTTTTTGCTTTTTTTCGGGGCGACAGTGACAAGAAAATTGTTGCGATCGTGACTGGCTGGGAAAGCCAAAAACAACAAGCTACCCGACCCCTCCCCCCCTCTACCAACTGTATTTTTACCTTTTTACCATACCATTGTTGTTGTTGTTGTTGTTGTTGTTACGCAAAGGCACTTGGGGCAGGTCATGGCCTGGGAGGCAACTCTCAATTCAACTTTTAGGCGAAAAAGTGGAAAACCGAACGAGAAAACCAATGTCAGGCCATTACCAAGGGGAGTTACGGTTATGGCCGATGCTATCGCCGTTGCTGATTTGCGGTGGCATCCTCATAAAGATGGCTGATTTATGAAGCCAATAGATGCGGCAAGCTGCGAATGTCACATCCATTGAAGAGTCCTTTCTATTATTCGATTTGGAAAAGGTTTTCTGGTTTTCTGGTAGCTATTTTTGGGTACCGGGCCAAATCGTCTTAGGGCCAATTGCATAATGGAAAGCCTGGCCCAGACGACGAACCAATCGTATCGAAACTGCAATCTCGTTAAGCGTTAATGGGGACAGACACTTGCCAAGTTCGACGATTGGCTGGAATGAATGGCTGGCCGGCTGTGAAAAGGTGAAAAGAGGTAACTCTTTCGATCAAAAATGTTAAATTATAAAAAAAAAAAAAAGTGTCGCCAGCCGGGAGCGTCCACAATTAACACTAATAAGCTGTTGCTGCCACTACTGTATGGTGCAATGTACTTTCGTTTATGTAATCATCATGATGATAGGCATTGTCATTACGGTTGTCATTATCAGGCATGTGGATGGGTATGGTTTCGCTTATTGGGCATTATTATTCATTACTGATAATATCAATTTGGCATGCCTTGGGCCTTTGGCTTTATCATCATTATTAGAGGAGCCCTTTCTACATAGCGATACTGATGCCAACTGACTGGTTTTTGGTAATAAAACAAGCTACAAATGGGTCAAGACTTGGGATGATAATAAAATTAATGAAATAAATATATTTTAATATATCCCTAAAAAACCTTAAAAAACTCTTTAAAAAGGTTGCATTTTTTAAGCTTTACTTTCTGACTGTTGTAGAGTTTTAAAAGCACTGCTCTTATATTTTGTATCCCACAGTTTTGGAGCAATTGCTAAATTTTCTACATGAATGTTATTTACATGGCCAAGTCTGAGACATAATTTCTTGGTTAAAAATAAACAAAAAGAATACATTTTGAAAAATATATTAATAATCATAAAATTAATAAAAAAAATATTAAATGCTTAAAACCTTTAAAAATAATACCGAATATACATACTCAGAGCGCCATTAACGCCATCTACCGTTTGATAGCAGAAACACCAACCCAATTCTGACTCACCCACAGTTTGAGAAGCCTTGGTAAAAGGGCTATGTTCCCTAGACCGCCATTATTCAAATATCCTTCAGATAACCTCAGAATTAAAACCAACTTTAAGGTATTTATATTTTTTTTTTTTTTTGTTATATTTTTAATACAATTTTCTCTGTTCTCGAAATACATACAATGCTCGTGTTTTGTTTCGTTTCGTATTGTATTACATTGAGAGATAGCGACCGCTAATGCCAGTCCTCGATAGAATATAGTACACCAAAATATGCGTGTAGATATATATATTAGGTAAATATATATATATATATGTGTATATATTTATATATTCTTGTTATGTATGTATGTTTGATGGGTGCTTGGGTCTGAGTGTGTGTGTCTCTCTGATAATTATGAACGTTTGATATAAAAAGTTGCACAATTGCATTGTGTATCCAAAAGATATCGTTCGCAAAAAAAAAAATGTTTCTTCGATGAAACACAACACGCTCGCCATTGTATATTTAATTATTATTATTTTTTTTTTTTTATAAATGTGTATATGTAAATCGTATATAAGTATTGTTTCTTGTATATAGTATAGTATATATATATATAAGATATTTCTTGTTCCTTGCTTCCATTACTGCCTCGGTACTCTCTAGAATCTAGAAGTCCCCCTCCCCCGTTGTTGGTTTGTTGGTTTCTTGGCTTGTAAATGTTTACAAATATATTAGAGTACGTATCTACTACAAAATGGTACTACGATCCATGCTGCTGGGTGTTGTTGTTAGGTGCTTGGTGATAGAACATAGTTTTGTTTCATTATATAATACATAAGGAAAGAGTGCTTCAAGAGTCTTCCCGAACAAAACTGGGGTGATGGGGGAAAAATGTTCTTCAAATTCTTAAAAAAAAACCCTATTTTACAGAAAACATTCCATTTCCATTCCATTTTTTTTTTTTTTAGCTTTGTTGGCTTTGCCGCTCTCGTGTGTGTGGTTGTGTGTGGGTGTGTGTGTGCTTAGGTCCTAGCTTACGGTCTACATAACGTACTTCTTAAAAATCTATCACAAAAAAAAAACATTGTATATTTGGATATTCAGTTTATGAACTACATAAAAAAAAAACACACATTTCCCTATGGCTAAAGTTTCACTTCTTCGGAGGCGCCCAGTTCGAAAAAAAAACGACAGAAACTTTCGAGTTTTGAGAAAATCCTTTGACTAAAAGTAGGGATTCCAAAAAAAAAAGATGTATCTCCTAGATATATACACAACCCTGCTGGCCAAGCTATCATCCGATCTTCCCGGATCCACACAAAAATACATAAAATTTGTTAAGAAATGTTAAGGCTTTCAAAAAATATATAGAGAGAGAGAGGTCTAGAGACCTTTCCAGATCCAGATCCGGTAACACTTGGCGGGTTGGCTAATAAATATATATAATAATATATATATATATATATAGATATATATTCGAAAAGTTTTGTGCCTAAGATCCATAATTATAATCCTTAGAACTCCTTGAGGCTGCCGCCTCGCTTCAGCTTCGTGAGACGCTTCAAGCTGGCGCTGAGCATGCCCCCCGATCCAGATCCAGAGCCACTTCCAGTTCCCGTGCCAGTCTCAGTGCCGGCACTACGATCCCGCTGCATAAAGGATCCCCGGAAGCGGACACGACCCCGCCCACGACGCTGCTGCTGCTGCTGCTGAGCCTGGTGCTGTGCCTGGTGGCGCCACAGATCCGTGAGCGGTGGATGGTGCTGGTGGGGGTGCTGCTGAAGGGTGCAGCAGCACACCAGCTCCTGCGATTATAACTTCTTCTCCCAGACGACAATGTGGGCGTCATTGGAGTTGGCCGCCAGCGGGGCGTCCGACTGCGAGTCGTTGCCGGGGGCGCCGCCGAACGAGCTGTTCTTGTGGCTGGGGGAACCACCTGTGGTGGTGTTGTACCACATCTGCCGCCAGTAGCCGCGTCCACCCATCAGGGTGATCACTGTCCGCGGCCCGTCGGCGCTGGCCTGCTGCTGCTGCTTGGAGTTCTGCTTCTGTTTCCGCTTCAGGGTGGCCACCGCAGCGGCGGCCGGCTTGTCCAGTCCTCCGGGGGTTCCTCCAGCTCCCAGTCTTCCAGGCTCATCCGCCTTGCCGACCTGCTGCTGTTGTTGCTGCTGCTGCTGGTGGTGGTGGATGTCCGCGGTGGTCATCAGACCGTTCTCGGATATGTTGCCCAGGTCGCTGCCCGTGCCGGAGGTCTTGTGGCTGGCGCTGCTGCTGTTCCGGGACACGGACCGGCCCCCGAACAGGCGTATGCCCATGCTCTCCTCGCTGCCCGAGGAGGTGTACAGGCTGGAGGACTTGGAGTCCACCGACCAGTTCGAGAGGTCCAGTGATCTCGGCCGGGAGGCCTTCATCCGCAGCCGGCGGTCCAGGGTGCACACCTTGCCGGGTATGGCGGCCAGCTCGGGGTCGGAGCGGCGCATGCCCTCGTACATCATGTCCATGAGGTTGCCCTGGTTGCCCTCCTCCGCGTCGTAGTCCTCCTTCACGAAGATCAGCTTCCCATACAGTCCGTACACGTCGCAGTAGCCGTGCTCGCCATGGTTTCCTCCCACTCCCGCCGCCGCCGCTGCAGTTCCAGCCGCGGCTGCCCCGCCATTGGCTGCTCCGGCAGCTGCTGTGGCGCCCAGTCCCCGGGGCAGGGTCTTCGACATGCGGTTGGGATCCTCGCGGAACCGCTTGCGGTGGAAGGCCGGCGAGTTGGCCAGCGAGGCGCGTATCTTGGCCGTGAAGCTCTGGTCCAGGGAGTGCTGCTTGTCCAGCTTGGAGCTGCGCGGCGAGGAGGCGGCGGATGCGGCGGATGCGGCGGACGCGGCCGACTCGTCGCCCTCGGTGATCAGGTCCCGCGCCAGCAGTCCCCCGGCAGAGCCCGCAATGGGGGTGGAGGTGGCCTGCTCCTCCTTGACTAGGTCCCGGCGCAGGATCACGGCGCTATCGTCCAGATCCAGCTTGGGATCGGCATCGATGGCCGGCAGCTGCAGGTCCTCGCCCATGCTGGGCACCAGAGGTGCCACTCCCGCCGCTACTCCGCCACCGCCCATCGGCGGCTTGTAGCTGGGATACACCTTGGGGATCAGCGGCAGCAAGAAGGTGATGGGTCCGAAGTGGGCGTGGCAGGACATGTTGATGCCACCGCTGATGATGGGCACACCCTCCAGGCGGGGCAGCGGTATGGTGACCGCAATGCCCACATTGGTGCCCACCCAGAGCAGACCCTTGCAGGCCATCAGGGCGGTGACGTAGACGGAGCTGTTGTTCAGCGGCTGCTCCTTCTTGCCGTCGTGCCGCAGGACGCTGGAGGCGATGTTGATGTCCTGCAGGTGCTTGAACGTCTCCGTGTGGTAGAGGCAGAGCATGGTGGAGTTCTTCAGCGAGATCCACAGGCCGATGCCCGAGTGGGCCATCAGGTTCACCTGCTGGCTGGCGCCGTGCTGCACCTCGAAGCTCCGCTGGATCTCACCGTTGAGGGCGTTCAGGACGTACACCCGGTTGCCGCAGGACGCATAGATGCACATGTTGATGGGCAGGAGGCTGGGCACGGGCAGGTCCGTGTCGCCCAGCCGCACGATCTGGGGATCCCGCAGCTGCCAGATGCCGTCGTGGCCGCGCCGATAGATCAGCACCATGGCTCCCGAGAGGGCCACGTAGACGGCATCGAAGTGATAGAGTATCCGCTGCACTGCCCCCGGCACCGAGTAGCTGCCCAGCTGCTCCTCCTGCTCCGGATTGCGGGCCGAGTAGACCAGAATCTTGCGGCTATCAGTGCCCAGCCAGACCAGGTCACCCAGCAGGCTCGACGGCTCATCCTTGCTCCTCGTCTGCGCCTCCAAGCCCTTGACGAACTCCAGCGCCGACACCTGAGTCTCGTAGATGTCGAAGGCCCCTGCCTCGCGCAGGTTGCCGGCCTGCTGGGGGTGCTGGGCCAGGACGGTGACGTGGGAGGAGGTGCCGTCGCTGCTGCACATCCACAGGTAGTTGAGCTGCTTGTGCCGGCGCCTGGCATTGCCGCTCAGCTTCGTGTCGTTGGCGATGCTATAGTAACATCCACAGCGCACCTGGAAGATTAGAGATTCAAAGGATTAGCAGGTGCTCCTCTGCAGGATGGCAGCTCCATATACTCACCTCGGTTTGATGCTGTGACTTGTAGACTGGCATCGCCTTGACGAAGAGCGGCATCTTGCGCGACTGCTTCTGCTGGACGGCCTCCTGCAGCTGCAGCTGCTCGTAGGTGGTGTGGCGGGGATCTCCGGGGCTGGAGTGATGCTGCAGCGGCTGGTGGGTGCCGCCGCGCTCCCACGCCGGTGAGTTGTTCGGGTCGAGGGCCAGCTGGGCCAGACGCAGCTCCGTGATCCATTCCTTCTTCACCGCCGGCGTCTGCGTCTGGAATGTGAAGGTCTCCTCCTTGCCGGACTTGTGCCGGCCGGTCAGCTGCAGGCAGCACGAGTCCACCCAGGCCATCTCCTCGTCCTTGCGCTGGATGGAGCCCTGGATGAGGTTGAGCACGTTGCGGGTCGTGTTGGCGTTCAGCTCCTTGTAGCTGCCCTTGAGGCTGCCGACCAGGTCGTGGATGCGGGAGATCACCTCGTAGTCGTACATCAGAGTGCTCATCTCGCTGCAGAGGTTGTCCGCCCCGTTCGTCAGCTGGGCGGCCGGGGAGCTGTGCGGATCTCCGAATCCGGCCAGGCCATGGGCGGGCAGGGTGCCACTGTTGGCGTAGGGACTCCCATTGGCGTTGCTGCTGCCGTTCGACTTTAGGCTCCCGCCGCGGTTGAGTCCTGCGGGGAGGAAGGAGGTGTCTTTAATCGAGAAGGACATGGTTTTGGGGTCCACTTACCAGCTGTGAGAATCCTCGAGAGCGTGGCCGACGTACTGTTGTCCACAATCTCCACGTCGTTGACCGGAAACATCCACTTGAAGGTTAGCTTCTCGGTGGCCCCGAAGTCATGCGACTGCTTGGGCGCCACCGAGACGCAGATGACCTTGTCGTTGAGGAGCAGGAGCCGGCGCTGCTTGCACTTGACGATGAATCCCGCCTGGTTGAACTCCATGTGGGTGACGTTGTCCTCCCGCAGGAGGTAGCGGGGCCGATGGCCACTAGAAGAGTCATTCATACTGACGCTGGAGAGGCTGAGGGAGCGGGCGTTGAAGGTGCCCGAGATGTGGCCGAGCATCTCCTTGAAGGCCTGGTACTGCTCCGCCTCCCGCTTGCTCTCGTTGAGCAGCTCGGCGAGCAGCTCCAGCTGGGAGAGGGCCAGCTGCAGGGACATGCGGTCATGGTGACCCTGCGGCGTATACTTGAGCAGATCCTGCAGGAAGAGGATGAACTGGGGGAAGCGCTGCACCGGCTTCACCATCAGCCCGAAGAATGAGAGCCGGTCGTGGGCACTGATCTGCTTCACCTTGAAGAAGTCGGCCAACGCGGACTTGCGCTTCTCCTCCATCTTGGCCAGCTCCATGGCCGCCGAGAAGTTGTTGATGAACCCCGAGTAGATCTCCAGCAGTTGCGGCTTCCCGAAGGCACTCACAAAACAGTCACCGATCTTCTCGTCCCGGTCCCAGTTGCGGACGCACTCCGCCAGCGTGATCCGGAAGAGCTTGTGCGAGTGCAGGATGTCCGGCAGGCAGTGGAACAGAGTGGAGATCTTCACTGGATTCAGCACCGGTGGACTGCACTCCTCCAGCGGTTTCTTGTAATCCTAAAGTTCGGATGCGAGTTGGTAGCATTAATTACTGGCCAGATCTGAGGGGGTTGGGGTTCTTGGGACACTAAAGGACATGTTAGTTATGTTACCAAGAGCTCTCTGCGACGGATCTTGATCGGATTCTCATACGGATGTGGGGGCTATGTCTTGTGTCGTTTATGGTTTCTAGTTATGTAACTACTTGTGGGTGTTAGTTGGGTGTTGGTGGAGTGTTGGTGGATGGTGTTAATGATGAGAGTGATGGAGACAGTTAGTGGACAGGTTAAAGTTAGTTGGTGATGATGGTCAAGTCGGCGTATGGGAAGAGGATGGCATGTAAAGAGATCAAATGAGTTTCGAAATGAGATATTAGAGAGATTAGAGTCGAGTCGGATGTCGGATGTCGGAAACAAGGCATGCGTTTCCCAGTCAGTCTAGGTGCTGGCTATCCCAACTCCACATTCCATATTCCCACAGATCACTCTCCACAACCATACAGAACACAACGATTGGTCCCCAATCTGGATATTTGTGTAGAGTGTCCAGTGAAAATTACGATTAACTACATACTTTTGAGCGAGGAAACCCCCTAAAAATTATCAAGTCTTAATCCTACACAGCAATGGAGCAGAAGGACCATCCGGGCCCCGACAAGGAGGTAAAGGAAGCCCATCCCGAGGAGGAATTCGGTAGCGAGGAGCACGCTACGGCCAAGTACCTGGCCGACACCTTTGGGGGGGCAAAGATCTATGTCGAGGCTGGCCGGGACGAGGCCTACGTCCAGTTGAAGGAGCCGCAGCTCCACCGCTTCAAGCTATCGGAGCAGACGCATAACCCCCCGCCGGGGTACGACGAGGATGCGTTCCAGCCTGCGGAGGCCCAGGACATCGAGAGGTGGGGCCAGGCCGAGGTCCTGAAGGTGGACCTGGTCGAGAAAAAGGACGAGGAGCAGTTCGGCAAGATGCAGAGGGATGCCACCACCGGCGAGAAGTACATCCTCCTACCCATAAACGTCGAGTTCCTGATCGATCCGGCGAACATGAGCCTGGAAACGGCCAAGGAGTACCTCAACTCCTGCGCTCAGTTCAAGGAGATCCTGCTCTCCCCGGAGGAGGACCATCAAATGACCCGGCACACCGTCCACATTACGAACATCCCGTTGGAGCCCGAGCAGGCTCCGGGAATGGATGGGGAATCGGGTGAGGAACCTCAGGTATCGAAGAAGGAGCCGGTGGACAACCAATCGGAGGAGACCCTGAGGGGATCAGAGGATGGGAACTACTGGGACTTCCACATGCACCAGTACTATGTGCCCAGGTTCAACATCCCGTTCGAGCTGAACTTTGCAACCGCCGAGGAAATGAGCCGTGCCGGACAGGTGGCAGGAGGGGACACCGACCGGAAGACCCCGGCCGAGCCAGTGGTGGATACCAATGAGTCGGATGTTTAAAACCAAGTTGTGAGATCCTCCCCAGAACACTGATCTAGTTCTGGAGGAACCCACCCCCCCCTTTCGTTTAAAATTTCAACAGTTATCTTATTACGTAATAAAGTTCTTGACAGTTAATCCCAAGGGTTTCCTCGCTCTTTCTTGTAATTCTTCTGTAGAATTCTTCTTGCAGGGCATGCTCTCTACTACTAATCTTCTAGAATCTTTAGGTGGAGACTCACATTGACTAGACGCTGCAGGGTCGCCACATACGAGTTCTCGCTGTGCACGATGGCCGCCACGATGTGGCGCCTCTTCAGCTGCTGCTGCGACAGGCCGGCGGGTGCGGGCGGCAGCATCGGCACCACCAGCCGGTTGTGGGCGGTGCGAGCCGTGCCGTTGGCCCGGCTGCCCGGCGTCATCATCAGGTCCATGTCGAAGCGATTGGCATTGGTGGCTCCCGCTCCTGGGGAGCCGTCGTCGTCCTCGTACTGGAAAATGGAAAAAGGATGTTAGAACTGGACAGGATGGAATCTTGCAGATACTCACCTCTGGCACGCCGGGCATCATCTTACTGGCCCCCAGATTGGCCAGCTTCTGGGGCGAAGCGGCGTCCAGCGCTGCTCCGACTTGGCCACCCGATGAAGCCCCTACTCCCGACCCCGCCGTCTTGCCCGCCTTGTCGCTGGCCGATCCCGAATCGGGGGTATCGAAGCTGGAGGCCGTGGAGTGCCGGCCGCCCACATCGTACTGATGCGAGGAGCCCCTTCGAATGGAGAACCACCTGGATAGCCGGCCTGGCGACTCTCCCGGCGTGGTGACATCCTCCCGCTGGGACGAACTGCTCCCGCCGCTTCCTCCGGAGCCATTCGATGGCATCGTGCAGGCACTGGCCCGCCGCAATATCATGTTGTTCGAGTTGGGACTCTCAGACTGCGATCCTGATCCTGATCCTGAGCCGGAACCGGAACCTGTGGTGCTTCCGATGGCGGCCGTGCGCCATTTGTCGAAGGACAAATGCTGCTTGGCCTTGTTGAAGGTGGAACGCAATTGGGAATTGCGTTGGTTACCGGCACTTAGCGAACTCACGCTGCTGCTGGTCTGCTCCTCCTCGGTGAGATGATCCTCCTGCTCCCGTTCCCGTTCCCGTTCCCGCTCCTGCGGCACAACCTGCACTTCCAACAGCTCCTGCTCCTGCGATAGAATATGCCGGTTATCCTTTTCTGGGGGATCCCTATGAGGAGATTTGGTGTCCCGTTCGCTGCCGCTGCTGCAGCTACTCCGACTCCGGCTGCAACCAACAGTGGCAGCCTGGCCACCGTTGGCGCTATAGCTTCCGCCGGCAATTGTGATGCCGGTGGGGCAGTCGCGATCCTGCTGATCTCGCTGATGATCCTGTCGATCCCTTATCCTCTCCCTCTTCTCCCGCTGCTCGGCAATGCGGCGACTGAAAGCACTATGCAGCTGGGCGGTGGTGATGCTGGCACTGGATGGCGGGGAACCGATCTGCCGCTGCCCGGTATGATGGAGAGTATGATGCTGGTGGTGGTGATGGTGGGGATGGTGCGGCTGCTGGTGGTGGTGGCGGTGTGGCTCGTCCAAGGTGTCTTCCCATGAGCCGGAGTTTAGTTTGTGTTCATCTGGACAGAGAGAGGAGCATATAGAGAGCTTAAGGTTAGATTTTGGGACTTCAAAGGTACAATACAAGTTTTTAAATTTAAAATTTAAATATTAAAAAAAAATAAAACCTAAGAGTTCAAGGTTCAAAGTGCAACCCTCTGGACTCTATCTTCATGACCTCAATCATGACGTCATTCTGGCCCGCAAAACCCCGCTAATTGCCAACAATTGTGGGCCATATGCAGCTTCTCATAGCCAGAACAGGATTTGGCCATGGCCGTCATGTCTGCGTGGCGTGGGACTGGCCGGCCTGGAATATCAAAGCCACTAAGCCGCCAGCAGCAAGCCAGCAGCAGTATGGTTCTGGCCAACTCTGTGTGGGCCATAAACACTAACAGCCAAGTGGAGGTATTGCCATGGCCAGCAGCAGCTACTCCCACACTCCATCAACTCTATCAACGCTAAGAGCCGCAATTACACTGCAAGAAATGGTAAGCCAGCTTTTAAGATAATGGCTAGTTCTTAGCAGACTCTGTTTCTCTCAGTGTAACAGGGGGGGCTGGCGATTCTGATTCCGATTGAGATTCTGATGGCGCGCAGATTCGAGATCTGAGAGACAAAGTCTCTGTCATGTTGGGGAACATTAATCATGGGCTCGGACTTGGACACGGTGACAAGTCGGGTTCAGTTGGCTGTGATAATTGCGCCCCCCCTCCCACTCCCCATAATCCCTCCCCTCCCTCCCCTCTATAAATATTTTTTGGCGGCCTTTGGAGGGGGGGCAGACACTTTGCTTTTTACCAAATTGAGTTTGTGTAACTTTTTTGGGGGCATCTTGGGAGGCATATATACACACACTCTGGAATTAACATAATCGGAAGCTGTCGAGTTTATTAATTAAATTTTGAATAACTTTTAAAGAGCGGAAGCTCGATACATCCCCCAACCACTAAGGGGTATCTCCCACCTCCCTATAAACTTCATAAAATATGCATTAAGGGGGGGAGTCTGGTCTCTAGATTAAATAAAAAACATATGTTGGCCCAAAATGTTGATGACAGAGTCACCCTTCTTGTGTTTGGCATTTATGTAATTTATTTCCATAGACTGTGGGCTGTTTTGTGGGGAGACTTTTGTGTTACGACATCGCGTATACGCACTGTTGGCTCATTAATTATCGCAACTGATTCCTGACTGGCTTGGCACGCAAAAGATATTCCCCCCCCCAGGTTGGATGCATTGAAGCCACCTCCTCCACAGGTTTCTTCCGCGGAAAATGATTGTGAAAAATTAATCATACGCCATGTGAGCCAGCGGAGGAGTCTATCGCCGATCGCTGCCAAAAAAAAAAATGCATTGGTCCATCACAGAGTGAGTCAGTTACTCAATTATTCATTCCAGTTGGTATTCCAATTCCATATCCCTACAGTTTTTGCATTTTCTCGGTTAGGGAGTGATTAATGAGCCGCTCATTAATGCCACAAAAAGGGGAAATCTCTGCAAATGCTAATGCTAATGCTTACTTAAATTATACAAATTATAGACAACCACACGTCTATAGACCTCTCCTGTTGTGTTCTTTATTGTTTTGCCAACTCATTTCAGACGCCCACAGGCAACAGAAACCAGAAACTGAAAACCATTTGAAACAAAGTCAGACACTCACTCTTAGGTCGGGTCCATTGCTAATTGAAATGACAAGCCGAGAGGGGCAGGTTACCCCTCCACCGAGTCACCACACTAGTCTCTAGCTCTGTCTCAGCATTAGCCTAATCCCCTTAACCCCTAACCTTTTGGCCAAAAAAAACCATCCTAGGGTATAACTGCACATATCAGCTACCAGAAGAAGTGCCAACTGGCAACTGCACTCGAAGCACTGACCCCCTTTCTTCAAACTGCGAGAGATACTTCATAAATATTTCAGTCCAGTGCAGAATGCGGCCCAGAATGGTTAAGTAGCTGGAGACTATATAGTCACCTGCTGGCATGCCACTCCCCCTCCACCTCCACCTCCCACTGACTATCTCTAATTTTTACTACCCTCCCCCCACCCCACGCCCCACGCTTTCCTCTAGAGGGCTTCTCTAATGAGGCCACAAGGCTTCGTGCGACTCACTGCCACGAGTTGCAAAGTAATTTCGTGTGTGTGTGTGTGTGTGTGTGTGTCTCCCTCTCCCTCTCTCTGCTTGCCACTTGAGGCAAGACTGGCTCCCAGGCACAAATTCAGTCAAGTTAGCAAGTTTCCTAAGCCACCAAAAGGGGGAAATGGCAGCTTTGAGCGAAAATTCCCAAGGAGAGGAAGCGTCTACACTGCCAGAAAAAAGCAAAAACTTTAAATCAATTATTTTAATTATTTAAAAGAATTTAATTAATTTTTTCACATATTTTTTGCAATATTTTTTTATAATATTAATATTTAAGAAATTTAAGAATTTCTCTCAGTGCAAAAATGCAAAAAGCATCCGGAAGCTCATTACACGCATTGCCGAAAAAAAAAATGAAAAAAAAAATGAAAAAAAAATGGTGGAGACAAGCCAGGATTATATCCTGACACGTGGATGTGGAGAAACCCCTTCCACCCACTCCCATCGCCCACCGCTCTCCACCCACTTTCCACCACCCACTTCCCACAGCCACCTTCCCACCCACACGTGTCTATAATAAGTGTGGAAATTGCTTTCTATTTGCAATTTTGATGCCCTCCACTCCATCCCCCACCCAGAAGCCCCCCCCCCAGAAGGGGTCAGAGGCCAGAGGGCAGAGGCACTGGCAACTCTGGGAAGCGGGCCTCTTGGTCGTAAACTAATTACTAAATTATTACCGCATAATGCTTATCACATACGCAACTTCCGAATCAAAAACATCGACTGGAGACTGGGGAGGATGATGATGAGTGTGGCTCCTGAATATTTATGAAAGGGTCAGGGCCAGCTGGAGGAAGGTGGAAGGTCAGGAAGCAAGGTCATGTAGCAGTCGGAAAAGGCACCTCTGTTTTTCCTCCATCCTTAACATCCTTTTTTTAAGAAAAATTGTTTAGGATTTAAATTTCATTTAGTGCTGAATCTACAAACAACAAATCTTAATTATCGAATTGAAATTGGGAAAGTTATAGACTTTGATTTGGAGTATATATAGTAGTAGTATCTTTATCATCTTTTTTCGCAGATAAATAAGGAATTTTCTCTAGCATTCGTTCAAGGTATTTCTAAGGTACAGCTACCGCCATGGACCATATATCCCTATAACCCAGGGACTCTCCCCTCTTTTCCAAGGGGACTCGGTAGAAAAATGTCTAAAACTCTAAACCTTTTCAAGATTTTATTGAAGATAAGTAGAGAGAATCATGATTCGATAAAGATATTCCGCTCAGAGATCATCACTAAAATTGGCCATGATATCGTATAACCCATGGATGGCCCATAATTCAAGAGGTCAAGATCAAGAGGGACCATCAGAAAAAAATTGGAAAAAATAATTAATCAAAAATTCTTGTGCAGGATTATAATTGAGATTTACGCCTCGATTCGTTAAAGGTATTCCGTTTAAGAATCGGATGAAAATTGGGTAAGCTACTGCCACCACCATGGACTATATATCCTAACCCAGGGACTCTCCCCTATTTCCAAGGGGTCTCAGTAAAAACAGTTTTAAGACTCTTAACCTTTTCAAGATAAGTAGAGAGAATCACGATTCGATAAAGGTATTCCACTTAGAGATCATAGTACTAACATTGTCCATGATATCGTATACCCCATGAATGGGCCATAGAATTGAAGAGGTCAGAATGGGTCAAAATCAAAAAAATTTGGAAAAAAATTATTCAAAAATTCGTGTGCAGGATTTTAATGCAGTCCAATTTAGAATAAACCCACGATTTATTAAAGTTATTCCATTTAAGAATTGGATAAATATGAGGAAAGATATAACCTTCGCTATGAGGCATGACTCTCTTTATAGACTATGGATTTCCATCAGAAAAAAGTGTAAAAATTGGGTTGAAAATTGGGGTTTTACTCAAGATTTTTTAAAGGTATTTTGGATAAGGATCGGATGCATATTGGCCAAGATATGGACTACCTATTGTACCATATATGACATCTAGACTTCTACATTCTTTCCAAGAGGTCCTTTTAGAAAAGTGGTTTAAAAATTGGTTTCAAATCGGGGTTTTAATGCAAAAAGAATGAATAAAGAATGAATATCCACATATTGGCTTAGATATGGACTTAACTTTAAGCCATCTTATCCATATAAAAGCCCCATAGACTTCCCATGTCCAGAAGATGCTTATAATTAGTTTCCTGATTTTTTAGAGAATTTATCCAAAATTTCCATAAGGTATTCGAACCCCACTTAAAGATCGAACTAAAGCTGGACTTCACTCTCTTTGGTGGAGAAACCCGACCCAAGACCAACTGTAGCCCCCAATCGATCGATCCATCTCTTCTTAACCGAAAGCCTTTACTTTCTTTTGGCCAAAAAAAAAAAAAAACCAGCAGCTTTCGAGGGGATTGCGTGTTTGGAGTCGAGAAACTGTGCCACCAGAAAACGCTTCATGGAAATGGAAATGGAAATAGTAGCCACAGACAGAGCTCAAGAGATAGAGCTCTTGAGAGTTGGCCAAAATTAATGACATCAAAATTAGGCAGGCAGGCAGGCAGGCGAAAAATTTCAACAAAAACTAAAGACTAGATCGGAGGGAAGAAATCCACAGAGGAGGTTATCGGCTGGCTGGGTTGTTGCACAGCTGCACTCTTGCAACTTGACGACTTTATTAATGAAATTGAAATTGAAAATTGTTGATCGAAAGGGGCAGAGGGGTGTGGCAATTAAAATTGTTTAGAAAATTGGGTTAAAAAGTGGCCAGTGGCTAGTGGAGTGACTAAGAGGCTGAGGCAACTGCCTACCGATAGAGGGGAGACTAACTGCCACCTCCCAACCACCTTCATCTTCCCTTGCCACATAAGTTGCCACACAAACCACAAATAGCCAACACAGATTTTCCAGAACAACACCACCT